CCAGACAAAGCATGTTTTCCTTTGTCAGTCAGAAAACTGTTCCTCTGCTATCTAAACTTTGGGTTAAAAAAAAAAAATAGGCCAAGCTCCGGCCAGTTCTGAATTTAGCTAAACCTCTTCCTATTCCAACCAGCCTGAACCAGCAACGACCAGCCCGCCTGACTTCCCTTCAACTTCCTGAGGTCACCGTTGGCAGCCTGCCTGTAGATTTAAATTTAAATCACACAAATGCCTGGTCTCCGTACGCAAGGCTTGCATTTGCATTCACATCACCAGGCATTGTGTCATTCCGGCTTGGCACAGAGTGTCGTCTGGGATGGCACGCGTTGTGGCCCTTTTTCAGCAAAATGATGGCGTGGCTAACAGGCTAGGGAATCCTTCCTTTGAAACATCGTTTGCGAAAATAGCTTTACTCACTCTGGGGAAGAAATCTGGCCTTGGGCACAGATATTGCCTCTGAATTCTACTGGAGAGGGAAGAAAGCAGCCTGGCAATGGAAATTTGAGCAGAATTGGATTATCAGGTTTCGCCCCCCAAACAGGTCAATTCATCCTTCAATTCATCCCGTTTCTTCCTCTGAAATTAGCAGTCTCCCTCTCTCTGTGTGTATGTGTGTGCTAAATAAAGAAGTCTTCTTTCACTGGACATTGTATTACTCTATTACTCGATTTCTCAACTTTAGCAATTTTAAGCTGTATAGACTTCAACCCCCAGGATTCTCTAGCCAGCATAGCTTGGCTGGGGAATTCTGGGAGTTGCCGCTTAAAATGGCTAAATTTGAGAAACACTGTCCTACAGATTGCACCCCACCTGCAGTTTTTCACTTTTACACCTGAGAATCTACTTGGTCCATACAGTGAAGCAGGTAAAAAGAACACGGAGCTTAGAGGGTTTTTTTAAACCATTTTTTTTTCTGGTTAACCAAATTATACCATTTCCAAATATGGAGGTTCTATTTGACTCGTTCCACTAATGCCTATTCATCCATCAAACATCCAGGAATGAATTTCTGTCTGCTTCCCTTACCACCCTACCTTAAAACAGATGTTCATCTAGGGAAGATCTCTTCTTGAAAACGTTGAAATCCGGATCTTAAAAAGTTACTTAACCAGGTAGAGTAGAGAAACCCATCCCTTAAAATCTATTTAATCGAGTTATTGAATTCATCACCTTGCAGAAAGGAAGAATGGATTTACTAAAGAAGGGGGGAAAGTTTTAAGAAGTGCAAATGTTGGCAGAAAGGGTGGGAATCGTGTGTGGTCTCTTAACAAAAGGGGAAGTTTGTTGAATGAAGCAAAAATGCCCGCGAAAAGAATTTCCTCGGTGGAAGTGAGAGTTAGGTCTTCCAGGAGATAATAGGTGTTTCCTTTGCTCCCTGTTTACCACTCCTTGAAGCCTTAACCCTGCCCAGGAAATATTTCATTTGCTCAGCTGGTCCAGCATGTGGAATGCAGCACCAAGGGCAGTTATGGGCTTGTCTCAGGATGCCCTGGAACACCCCAGCTGTGTGAGCTGCACTGGTTGCCAGTTTCTTCCGGGTGCGATTCACTACAGGTCATCCTTGGATTTACAACCACAATTGAGCCCAAGATTTCTGTTGTTAAGTGAGTTTTGCCCAGTGGTGGTATTCAATCAGTTCTGGTGATCCCGTAGGAGCGATGAGCAGCGGACAACAAACCGGTTCTCTCCACTGCTCTGCTGTTGGGCCCACCTGCCCGCCCGGGCTCCCATATTCACCTTTATCTACTGAATTTGAAGCGCAGCTGATTTGCGCGGCACAGAAGAGTGCTGTGTGGCAGCTGCTGAAGCAACTGGGATCGTGCAGGCTTGCGGGAGGTGAGTTAGAATGCCTCTGCGCCTGCACAAAGTACTTGTTTGGTGCACAAATTGTGTGCATGTGTGCAAAGCGTGCCCACCAAGCCACGCCCACCGAACCAGTGATAAAAATATTTGAATCCCACCACTGGTTTTGCCCCATTTTATACCACCTTTGTTCCCACTGTTATTAAGTGAGTTATTGCAGTCATGAAGCTAGTAGCACAGTTGTTAAGTGATAGATTCACTTAACAACTGTGTTACTAGCTTCATGACCGCAATAATGGACTTCCCTTGCTTGTCAGAAGGTCCCAAAAGGGAATCACATGACCCTGGAACATTGCAGCCATCATACGTATCAGTCAGTTGCCAAGCACCTGAATTTTGATCATGTGAACATGGGATGCTGCACTGGACATAAGTGTGAAAAAATGGTCATAAGCTCATCCTCTTTCAGTGCTGTTGTAACTTTGAACGGTCACTAAATGAATTGTTATAAGTCAAGGACTATCTGTACTTAGAAAGCCCCGCAGAGTCCCCAACCTCTCTTGGCTCCATGGATCAGCAGCAGCAATGGCGACGACAGCAAAGGGGGAACACCACAGCTTTGGTAGGGAGACGAGGATAATTTCACACGCGCAACTTAGCTCCAGTGCATGCCCAAACGAAGCTTCACGCACTCACCCGCCGCTTGCATGGCCTGGTTCCCAGTGGGGGACGGTACCATCCACAGATAGGGGGTGGGGAACCTCTGCCCTACACAACATGGGGCCCAGTTACTTGCAG